AACTGCTCTTCTTTTTGCCCATTCGTGGTGAGGTAGGGGTAGAGGGAGGACACTTTTGGAAGCCCAGTTGTGCAGGCGCATGGAAGAAATGTGATGAAATGAGTCGAAGCTCTCCCAAGGAGAAGAGAGGCTCCCTGGATGTTGTTACTACTCCTTTCTTTTTTGGTGCCATAGCTTGAGGGTTCTCCAGAGCCCTAGACACTGTGAAGAGGGCCAAAGGGTCCTGATCTTAAGGGCAAGATGTAGGCAGAGGAAATCCCTGCAGCTAAGGGTCCTTCTCTTCCCAGTGATTCTGTTGACCCTCTTCATGGTGTGTAGGGCTCATTTACTTCAGTGTGTGGAGAGTTCTGGGAACCAGAGTCATGTAGAAAAGTCTCCTCCCCAGTCTACCCCAGATAGTCTCCCTCCTAGGAGAGCCAGCTCATCTGGCTCCAGGTCTTGGGTTACAGTCTTTACCGAACTCCGTTTCCGCTCCTTTGGTCCAATGTTGAAACAATTCTCTTCAAGTCCATCTGCATAAGACTGGGCAGAGCTCCCTTGGACACCATCCTCTTCTCTCCATGCTCCCAGCCCCAGCGATAGAATATCTTATAATTAAGCATTCTCCTTTTCCCATTCTTCAGCTTTCAAATAGGAATGCATCACAGTTCAGCCAGCCTTGGTATTTGACCCAAATTATTATTTTCTTGTATCTCAGTTTTGGCTTTTGGAAGGCTGAGTCGCCAAATTCCTATTTCATCACTATTCCTGGCATCCTTAAACTTGGCTGTGATCGAGATCATGTGAAGGATTGAGTAACTGTCAAATCTAAACAGGTAGGGCACCAGTAATGAGAACAGGCCAGATCATTTGGATTTATTGTTAATATCTGAATAGTTACTTCCAAATATTTGTGAGCATTCTAGATGTAACTTGGTGTGAAATTTTCCTTGTGAACTTAAAAAAAAAATTCTTATGTTGGAATTCTGTCTGTTAGTGGAAGTATAAATGCATATTATTATTTTAAGAAAGATGCTATTATTAATGGTTGTAAAAGCTTATATTATGTATGAAATGATTATCAAAAATTTCCACATGGTTAAAAAATAGGAAATTAGTTGACAAGTAATATAAAAATAGGAAATTAGTTGGCAGGCTACAGTGCAGATCATGGCTCACTGCAGCCTCGACCTTCTGGGCTCAAGAGATCCACCCACCTCAGCCTCTGGAGTAGCTTGGACTACAGGCATGTGTCACCACACCCAATTAATTTTTGCATTTTTTGTAGAGATGAGGTTTCACCATGTTGCCCAGGCTGGTCTCAAACTCCTGGGCTCAAATGATCTGCTCTAGTTAGACCTCCTAAAGTGCTGGGATTGCAGGTGAGAACCACTGTGCCCAGCTGACCCAAGGTATTTATAACAATTTAATAAATAGCACAAGTAGTATTTAATTTAACATATAGTACAAAGAAGAACAATAGAAATTAGATTTTATCATAATTCTATCTATGATTTAATTATATCATGATCTTTTTAGAATTGGTTGGTGTATTATAATTTATTATGTAAATAAAATAATTCCTTAAGAAGTATATATTTTTTAAAGATTTTTTTGAAATTGAGATATAACTTACGTACACAAATCTTTTTTTTCTTATTTATTTGTATGACCACCTGCTGCTTCTTGAAACAAATCTTAAGTATATAGTTCAATGAACTTTCACACAGGAAACATAACCAGACCAAGAACAGAATGTTTCCAGGACCCCAGAAGGCTCCCCATGTCCCTCCACAGTCAGTAATTCCCCAAGGCTACAACTGTTCTGAACTCTATCACCACAGACTACTTCAGGACTTTCTGGTTATTTAATGCTATTTAGGTCATCAGTCTTTCAAGAAAAAAGTTTTATTTAGAAACTCTTCTTATTTTGGGAAGATGCATTAAAGGCATAATTTTAGCCACTTTAAATTTTGTGAAAAACAGTATTATCCACAAGAAAGATCATCAATAAAGTAGATTGTGAAAAAAGAATAAAATGAAGAGAAAAATCGGCTGCCCCAAGTATCTTGCTTTTCCATGCATCTCAAGTGAAAATCATTCCTTAGAATGGTGAATGTAGTGTAGCGATCACAGGAGTTCAAAACAAATTCAGATTTTGGATAAACTTCAGATTTATTCAAGAATCCCAGCAGTCCATTCGATAATCTCAATGTTTTGTTTCCAGGTAGTAGTTACTTTTACGCTCAGTTGTTTGGCTGTGGTGGCCAACTCATCAACTTATTGGCCCTCATTCTGTTAGAATTGTTCAATAATCTGCTCTCCTTCCTTCCTTTCTTCCTTCCCTCCCTCCCTCCCTCCCTTCTTTCTTTCTCTCTCTCTCTCTCCCCCTTCCTTCCTTCCTTCCTTCCTTCCTTCCTTCCTTCCTTTCTCTTTCTTTCTTTCTTCTTTCTTTCTTTCTATCTTTCTTTCTTTCTTTTCTTTTCTTTCTTTCTTTTCTTTCTTTCTCTTTCTTTCTTTCTTCTTTCTTTCTTGTTTAATGGACATTTATTCATTTAGTGGAACAACCTCTACACAATCAAAAGGTATAACTTAAGATCTTTTCTTGAGAAGAAATTTAGGCCTCAATAACTTTTATGAGCTTGCCATGAGTATTTCTTGGAATCAATTAGTGAAGCCTTTTGAAACCCCCAGAGAAGATAGGAGAAAATGGGTTCAGAGAAATGAGCATTTAAATTAAGTCAGCAAAGTCAGAATTTGGAATTGGGCAATTCCTTGTCTACATTTTCTTTACACTCAAATTCGCCCTGGAAAACAGTAGCCTAGTCTCCTGAAAGACATGACGCAAACAGAAATGCAATGTGGTGGTACACTTAAAGTGAAAGTGGGTGCATAAATGATGGCACAACTCTGTGGAATGGTAAGGATTTTTGGGGTAGTTTGGCCAGGAACAAGAGAAATTACTGCAGAAAACACATATGGTTGGAAATCATGCACTTGTATGACTTTTCCTGAAGCCTATGGGAGTGGACAGAGTGGGTAACCCAAGATATTTTTAAGACTGACTGGACTAAGACTGAGGTATATACTCAACTACTTTCCCCCCTAATGTGACTGAAGGGATTGATAATGATCACAAATAAGTGTTAAGGTTAAGTATTTTAGGGTTGACTTCTAAGCTCGCACTTGAAAGGCATTTATCTAATGGCCACTGGCTTGCCAGCTTCCCACTCTAGCATTGATCACTAGCTTACCAACCTTAAGGCTAATAATTTTATCTAACATTCAATTTCAAAATATACCAGTGTTTATACCACTACCACTCACCACTGAATGCCATGAAGCCATGACAGTGAACCAGGAGCTGTCACCTTTTATGTGAACTTAAAATGGTACTGTGGAGACTGAAGCAATTTTCTTCAGGCTAACTCAGATTTGTGCCCATAATTTTCTAAATATAATCATGACATAGTTAAGATGTCATCCTCCCACCTTTGCTTTCTAAAGCAAAGCCCAATTTAAAAAGTCTGCACCTGTCAAACTAAAAACACCCCAGCCACTTGAAAGTAAACCAGCAGGGCATTGCCCTCACTCCAATAAAGCTGCAGATTTCATCACATGCACTAGACAAATCTACAGGGCTAGTTCAGTACTCTTCTTTTAAAGAGTTTATTTTAAACCTGTTACACCCCACAGTACGTTTTATACATTGACATCTAACTCCCTAATAAGATAAGGCAAAGACAAAAAAGTTTATTAGAAACAAGATACGCCATCACGTATTGTCTTCAAAGATTATTGCACTTGAACTTTCTTAATTTGACAAAGCATTCACGAAACAATCTGTAGACTAGTTTTAACAGACAAGTAACACCTGTAAGCAGACATGACTGTCCTAAATTTTTTATTAGGTATGAATTTTACAAACTTTACTTATATTAGCAGTAATGGCGGAGCTGGAGAGTATCATGTCTTCTCCAAGATTTACCAGTGAGAACCACTGGTGGAACTTACGGCTCTTTCCAAGGCCACGGCTCTCTGGGCCCAGGACTCTGTCTGCAGGCTTGTAGTCTAACCCACTCATGAACAACACTCTGGCAGAAGAAATTCTCTGGGGAAACCTTAGTGGGGAGGTTTGCCTTGGATCTGCGTGTTTTCCGAAGATGGATAGTGCTACTATTAGTTATCGTGATCTAATGCCTGTCAGTACTTGGGGCTGACAAGAGTTTCATAGATATCATTTCCACATCTTTGTATGCAATCCTGTTTAACAGGTAGGATTACTCTCATTTTGCTGTAGAGAAACAGACCAGCCAATCGCTAGAGGCAGGGAGTCAGGATTTATACCTGATTCTGTCCGGCTCCGAAGCTTACTCTGACTCTGGTCAGTAGTGAAAAAGCACAGGAGTTGGTGGGGAGGGATTGGTAGAGTGGAATCCTCAGCCCGGCCGGGAATGTCTTATAATAAATTTGGGTTTGAAATAGGGTGGAGGACACAATGCTTGTTTGAGACTGAGATAGAGGAAGAAAGAAGGGGATGGTGCTAGTCAGATAATGCTGGAGGAACCATCAGGACTGGCCAATATCAAGCCAAGCCTTCTCCGCTCCACTCACCAGAGAGGGAGAAATGGTATCTGTAGCCCAGGGGGACAGGAAAATGGCATTTTCGCATCTCAACCCCTCAGGCCTCGGCAGACTGCCAGAGTGGAGAGCCAGGGAAGCAACGAAGCAGGGGAGATCATTATCAGGAGGAAGGAAGCTCTGGCAGCTCCCACCAGCCTGTTTGTGACAAGCAGGCTCAGGGCCACGGAAGTCCCTTAAGGTCAAGGGAAATGCGATCCTGGATCTGGGGGCTGAAGCTGAGGCACTCCCTTTACCTTATATCTTCAGGCCAAAGGGATCTAGCCAGAGCCAGGCCCAGCGCCTAGGTTGGAAGAGCAGTGGGCTAGAGAAGCGGGAGGGGCAGTTAGAGAGAGGAGAGAGAATGAATAAGATGCCAGAGCACCTCATAAACAATCTCGTGGCTAGAGAGGTAATGAGCTTCATTGCAGCCAACACAGGGTAACTGGCTCTTCAGAGCACTCATTCTTCATGGGTGAACTCTTACCTAGTTCACCTCTTGCCCCTGTAACAGTATCTGCTTTCTTGCCCAACTGGTAGAGTAGAAAGTATGCTATATTTAAGCAAGGAAACCTAGGTTCAAGTCCAGGTTCTGCTGCTCACTAATTAGACGGGCTATTTAATTAATTAAGCTTTCTAAAATCTCAATTTCCTCATCCATAAAGAAGGCATACAATCCCTGTCAAGTCTATGTCACAAGGGATTAGAGGGTTCACGTGGAAGTGCTATAAAAATATGAAGTGGTATTTCTTTATATTTTTCTTTGCTTCAGGTCACCTCACTACCATGTCAGAGCTGGGGAAGACTTCTAGTTCAGGAACAGAAACAGCTCTATCCACAAATCATAGGCCCCTTTTCCATGTATTTCCTCCCCTTGTCATGCTGCCATAATGCCATAATGCCAGAGGACAAGGGAGACATGTGCAAAGGCAGAGACCAGGGAACCCACAGCCTTGAGCTTGCTCAGCCCCTTTCTTGGGGATAAGCATCTGGGAAAACAGCAACAAAAAGATGAAAGGCCATGACTCTAGAGTTCAGGTCACCAGAGTGTCAGCTTCAGCCTCCCAGCAGAGGCTGAACCAGAGTCCCAAGAGATGAGGGGAAGAGAACGCTCTGGGTGTAGGAGGAGTGATGCAGAGCCCAGGAGATGGACCTGAGGCTCAGCCAAAGAGTGAGGAGCTCTGGAAGCCTAAAGGACTCTGTCCAAGTGCACAGGAACCAGGTGGAATTGCTGAGGGTCCTTTTTCTGGCGAGGGTCACAGGCCACTATGTAAAACTTGTTCAGGTGCTCCTCTTTGTACCTGCAGTTCGGGTACTTCCCTGAGGTGAGCCCACACATGGTCAGGGACACGGACCCATGGCTCTGGTGGCAGTTTTTATGGCCGTTCTTGCAGGTTATGTTGGGGGTCTGGCAGGTGGCGGCCACGCTGGAGAAGGACTCGTGCAGGAAGGTGTTGAGGTCTTTGCACCGTTTTGTGTGCTTGTTGATGTCTCTCATGGCTGAGTCACATGCTTGAGGGCTGGGCTGCACGTGCTGAGTGTTAAACCACTGAGATGGGGTCATGCCCTTGGGCTTGGCACTGACTGGGATCTCAGCCACCCACAGCCCCAGCAGCAGCAGCAGCAGAAAGGGGAAGTATCCTGCTCTGGCCGGTGCCATCTCTCTTAGGGGGAGCAGTCAGAATAGAGGGCAGGGGTCACTGGGACAGTGTTCAGTCGAGAAATTAGTCCTCCTATACCTGCTCATATGAGCTAATCACCCATCTCCCTAGGCACTTGTCTCCTTTCCTCCCTTTGTGTCTCATCTCTGCCTCTTCTTCTGTGTGTCCACATCCACTGTGGCCCCATCTCTCACCTTGTATTTCTCCTCCCTTCATTCTGGCCCTGCTGCCTGTCACTCTGTCCTCTCCCCTTTCCCTCAAGTCTCATCTCCTTTGTGTCCCCATGTTCCTGTGTCTGCCTTATCCCCTCCCCATCCCCATTCCCATCTCCCCTGTGTTCCCATTCTTTTTCATTTTTTGCCTCCATCCCCAACATCACTCTCCCTTTTCCCCAATGTGTGTCCTCATCTCCCCTAAATCCAGTCCCTCCTTTATCCATTTTATCACTCACCTGAGTGTACTCTCATCTGATCAGAACCCATCCTTCCTTCTCTGTCCTCACTCCTCCCCAGCTCCTGCCGCAGCCTCACCTTTGCACTTGGTCTTCTTGCTGTGACTCCTGCTCAGTGGGCTGGGGCTGCATCCACACACTTCTAGGCTGTCAGAACTCTGAGGGCCTCTTCTCACTCCTGAACTCCCTAAGAGCTGGCCTGGGCTGTGCTGTCTCTGTTTGGGGGCGGGCTGAGGAGCATCACTGGATCAGGAAATGAATCAGGTTCATGCCTCTCCACTTAGAATTCCCAAATACATGGATACTTAAGGACACCTGTATCTGCCTAAACATGTTCAGCAATGAGGAAGCTTGAATCATCACATTCAAAGGCTATATTTGTCCTCTGGTCACATGATTTTAATGACTCTTTAATAAAGCACCTGACCCAGTGTCAACTGAAATCAATTTCAGGAAGAGTTGTCATTTATGTCCTCTCATACACACCTCTGGCTCAGGATCCTGAGAAAACTCAGTCACTGTGGGGTTAAGGGCTGCTTCTTCTCTGACCTGAGGTACAGATAGAACAGCCTAGGAAGATGCTTTGTCTGGTTCCTTGTCATCTGAAGATATTGCTTATTTTTTAGAGGAGATGGAAGAGACATGAGGGAAGTGGATGAATCATCACGGTCATGATACCCAGCACCGTCCCCAATGGCAAAGCCATTCCACAGCGATTCATTCCTCTGGGCCTGTCCGGTTCCAGGTACCAACGAAGGCCACATGGCTTTACCTGGAGAAGGCAGCCAACACCTCTCAATTTTACTTGTTCCCTCCCCTCTTTATTGAAAATTCCAAAACTTTCATACTGCTCAAATGTTTGTGCTTAGACGCTGTTGGTGTTGCTGCTCTCGACATCCTGCCTTAGTGCTTCCTTCACCTTGTATGTCCTGTTCCTTGCGGTGGTTACAACTGTGTGGAGTGTCTGGGTCAGTGCTACTCCAGGGGCTCCTGTGAGCTTGGAATATGACACTCAGGAGAACCGAGACACAAGGCAGAGCATCGCCCCTTGTGGGTGAGAAGGCCTGTGAAACCGAGGTGAATAGTATTTTTGTTTTCAGAATTTACCTGTAAGTAGTAGATAATCTCAGAATCTCAGGCATCCTTCATTTACATAATCAACAAACATTTATCGAGCACCTACTAAGTGTAAAAATACTTGGGATAGATTACTGAACAAAAAAGGCAAAAATGGTCAGGTACAGTGGTCCACACCTGTAATCCTAGCACTTTGGGAGGCCAAGGCAGAAGGATTGCTTGAGGTCATGATTTCAAGACCTGCCTGGGCAATGTGGCAAAACCTCGTCTCTACAAAAAATTTGAAAAATTAGCCAGGCATAGTGGTGCATGCCTGTGGTCCCAGCTACTCCAGAGGCTGAGGTGGGAGGATTGGTTGAGCCCAGGAGATCAAGTCTGCAGTGAGCCGTGATTGCACTATGGCACTCCAGCCTGAGTGACAGAGTGAGACCCTGTCTTGAAAAACAAACAAACAAACAAACAACGACAACAACAAAGACAAAAATCCCTGCCTTTGTGGAGCTTACATTCCACTGGAGAAAGACAGTAAAAAAAAAAATGTATACTTTGCTCAAAGTGATAATTGCTAGGGAAAAAAGTAGGACGGGATAGGGGTTGATGGTCAGTTATTTTATGTAAGATCATTGAAGTTGCTGACTCTGGGGCAGAGACTTGAAGATAAGAGTGAACTTTGATTATCTGGAGGAAGAATGTTTGCACTGGAGACAGTAGCACTTCAAAAGCCCCAGGACAGATAGATACCTAAGGTGCTGGAGGAACAGCAGTGTGTCCAGTGTCTGGAGTAGGTGACTGAGAGGTCCAGAGAGGGACCAGAGACCAGGACACGGGAAGACTTAGAGACAGTTTGAAGGCCTGTGACTTTTACTCCAAACACCATAGGGAACCCTGGGAGGGTTCTAAGTAGATGAATAAAGAACTTGTCTGCTTAAAGGATTATCTGGCTGTTGTGTGGATTATAACAGTGGAGAAGTCACACAACCCATCCTGATCATAAGGTTGTGTTCTGGTCCAGAATTTATGATTCCGAGTCAGGAGGATGGGGAGTTTGTTTTGAGACCAGGAGGACATTATTTCAAGAGATGGACAGCACAGCTGTGGATTGCGGGGTCAGGATCTTTAGAAAAGTGATGTTGGAGATGAGAAATGCCACTAGATGGCAAAAGAGAATCAAGAACAAGTTCACACAGGCCTCTGGCTCTTCTGGTTTACCCTCAGCCAGGCCTTGGCTGCGGGAACAGCTGTTCACTTCTTTGTTAAGGTGTCCGAAGATTTGCAGGCTGAACTTCTGGATAGAGAATTATGCCCCTGCTGCCACAGAAACATGAATGTTAGGAGATAAAAGCCACGTTTTAAAGTAGACTGTGTATCAATGTGTATCAGCACAGGCCAGTCCAGCTCTTGAGTGGAGGCTGGGTGGGAGGCTGCTAGCTCATCTGAATGCCTAGCTTGGCCTCCTTTCCACTTCTCATTATCCTAGAGTGAGATGTTTTCAAGCCATGATTTTAACTTCCCTCTGCACTTGTGTTTTCCTGTCATTATAATTATCCTAGTTTGCTCTTCAACTCCAGTATGCTGGGCTGTATAGAAGGCTGCCTTAGGACTGTGTGAAAGTGAAATAAACATGGCCCTGCTGCCTCAGGTCAAAGGGAAAAGAGAGTAAAGGTTTAAGTTTGCACATGAAAATCGAAATAGAGTGGAACCTACCATATGTGCAATTCAGCTGAAACCTTTGCTTTGCCTCAATTATTTGGATAAGGGAGGTGATTTTGTTTGTGTGCCTAAACCATCCAGCTTCCAAGATCTGCTTCACCTTGCACTTGGTAGGCTAATTTTGCTATTTTGCCTTCACCGCATTCATGGAGCAACAGAAAAAGATGGAGGAAGGGGAATAAGGTTAGGAAGAACAAAAAGATCCAGGCATCAGGCCAGAGACTGGTTCAGGAGTTTCACAGGAGGAAGAATGAGAGAGAGAGCAAGAGCAGAAGACAAAATGGTGGGAGAAAAGACAGAAGAAAAGAAAAAGTCCCTTACACCAGCAATCTCTACCCCTACTTCCTTCTCACTCCATCACCGAAGTCACTGCTGTTGGCCCAACTTCTCTATGGGCTGCTGTTGTGTGTGTGTGTTTAAGTTGGGGCGGGTGTTGTGAAAATCCCAACAGTGCCAGGTGGACCTCTGCCTGTCTTCCCCACAGGACAACAGCTGTTGCTTCCTCTTGCCTGGCTGGGAGGGAGTGAAGGGGGAAGGGAGGGAGGAGGGCCGGGCCTGGATTGGTGCCTACCCTTCAGAGCCAAGCCTCTGTCTTCCGGAGTTCCACACAGCCTCTGGATACCAATGGAAAGCCCATGAAAGTTTCCCTCCAAGCAAGAGCAGATCCAACTTCTGTTATCCTAATTTTGTTGATCCTTTGATAAACAAAGGTAATGGGCTCATTTTTGTAGACTGAGAAAGTGAAACATACACAAGTTGAGGTCATACGTGGGACTTGCTTCAGGTCCTTGAATTCCCATGACCTTTCCAGGAACAGCTGTGGGTCAGGAGGAGGCAGCAGTGACAGACGTTTGGAATCCTTGGCTCCCAGGCCAATGCCTTTAGACAAGCCAGGATGGGGAAAAGAGGAAACTGATTTGGGGGTGAGAGGCTTCACTGGGGCCTTGTCTCTCAAGCCCGCCCAGCTCCCCATTTATGTACAGAGTAAGTATCACTTCCTTAGCCTGGTAATCAGCGTCTGCCATAATCGGGCAAACCTGTCTTTCCAACTTTATCTCTGACTTTTCTCTCACTGAGTGCCTCAACCCCAGCCAGACTGGTTTCCCCCCATTTCTCAAGCATGTCTTCCATAACCCTCTTTATCTCCACTTAACTTCTAACTTCACCATGAGACACATTCCCAAGCCAGGGTGACCCTTCAGGGTACCTTTCTCTGACCCTCCCAATTCAGAGACATCTTTCTCAACTCTAAATTCCTACAGCATTTACTGACTTCAGAATGTATAATTATCTGCCTTGAATCATTGGTTATTTCTTCTTATATATGTACTATTTCTCTCTTATACTGTCAATTCCCGTAAGACGAGGATCTCTTGTTATACTTCTTTTGCACATTTCACAGTACATAGCATAGTACCTTGCACATAAGTGACCCTGATTCAACTTTTAGAAGGCATTCCATCTGCTCCTGAATGATCCCAGTCGAAGGTGGGATTGCTGCCAACCCACAGAGATGGTTAGCAGATGAGGAGCTGACAGTACAGCTCCTGGACTTCAGCCCTGGGTTTGAGGTGACACTATGGGAAGAAGGTTGAGATGGTGAGGCAGTCCTTCAGGTTCAAGGACAGCCCAGCAACTGTCCATGACACAGTATATTATTTGAGCAACTTGAATTGGACAGGGCAAAAAGTAATGCCACTAAGATCATGGCAAAATTTTGGGGTTCTCCTCAGTCACAGGGAGTCACTCTTACCCCTGCCACCCTAGCTGGTTGTTCTGCAAATGCTTCCCACTGGGGAGGGCAGGGAGAGAATGTGTAAATGATTACATGCAGAGAGTCATCTCTACAGGAAAAACAACTCTGTTATTGTTTCAATGGTGAACTATCAATACACATTTTGCTGGTAGAATCGGCATCATCACAATCAAAATCTGTTTAACAAAATATCTTGAAGTCCCAGATGTTTGTCAATTCTTTTTAATACATAAGACACAAGTAAGTCTGCTTTTGCTAAGAAACTTGATTAGCTAATTATTTAGACCAGGGCTTCTCAAACTCAGTGTTATTTACATCTTGGTCTGGATAACTCTTTGTTACGGGAGCTGTCCTGTGAAATGTGGGATGTGGAGTAATAAACCTGGCCACAGGCCAGTAGCAACTCCTGGTTGTGACAACCAAAAATGTCTCTGGACATTATCAAACTGTCCCTGGAACTGCTGAATTAGACATATGACCTTGAGCAAGCCACCATCCCGCTAGAACATAGTTTTTCATTCCTAAGGTAGTGCTTGTGCATGTAAAGCCCAGTGTAATGGGGTAACAATCCCACAAATCTCAGGCTTGGGAAGCACATGAAACCATGATGAGGATGTCAGAATGGATGAAGTAATCTTATGCATCAGCACCTCTAGGATAGGATTTTAGGGAACAGATCACCAGGATTGCTGTTGGTAACCCAAAGACTCATCATTATTAGCTCATTTAAGCCTGAATGTGTTCCTCTATCATGTGCTGTTCAGTTTCTGTAATTGTGTATGTCAAAGTGAGTGGTGGTGGGTCGGGGGAGTGAAGAGTGGTGATGGTGGGTGGGGAGTGAAGGAAGAAGAAGGCCAAAAGGCAGCTTCCCTTTCTATTCTCAAGGAAGCTGCAGCCTTGAGGGACCAGGGAAGAAGTGGCATGATTCAAGGTAGGGATGACAATGCGGCTGGCTTCCTCAAAGCAAAGTCTTGAGTCAGCCAGGCTCAGGCACCACCCTGCATTGGTGCCCATCCAGTGTTGCCTTGTTGAGCATCCTGAAGAATACAGATGAACCACCTGCCCATGTAGCCTTTATCCTCACTTGCTTGACTGTGCCCACTTCCTTGGGGAGGTCTGCCAAGCAAAGGCTTTCTAAGTGGGACCTCTGGGTTGAGTCTTTTTATGAGCTAGCACCACGGAAGAGATGAAGGTAAGGAGTGGAGCAGCAGCAGCATTCCAGATAGAGGAGACAGCAGGAGACAGGGCGTGGAGGAGGTGGGGGACAAGGTGGGAAGCAGGCACGGATACAGATGCAGTTGCACACAAGGGCAGATGCAAGATCATGGGAAGTCTTTTATGTCCCGTGTGATGTAGTTTGTACTATACCCTACAACAACCTTGTCCAACCCATGACCCACAGGCCACATATGGCCCAGGATGGCTTTGAATGCAGGCCAACACAAATTTGTAAACTTTCTTAAACTTTATGAAAACTTTTTTTTTGCATTTTCTAAGCTCATCAGCTATCATTTAGTGATAGTGTATTTATGTGGCCCAAGACAATTTTTTCAATGTGGCTCAGGGAAGCCAAAAGATTGGGCACCCCCACCCTATGAGAAACAAGCTATTGCAGAGTTTTAGACAAAAGAAAGGACTATGTTTTTTTCTCTTGAAGTTGTATAAGAGAAATATTTGAGTTGGAGAATGTGTGGTGTCCAGAAGAAGCAAGAGCATCCGCTGAGGAAGAAATAGGAATGGAAGAGATGGGCTTGGGAAAGATTTAAGATTGTCAGGGCTGTGTGACTGATGAACTCAGGCTCATATTGAAGACCCACCATGTGCCAGGCACTGGGCTAAAAACTCTTGATATACAGTACATCTTAATGAATCCTAATACTGCCATGAGGTAAAAAATACTATCTTCATGAAAGATGAAACAAGGAAGCTTTCAGTGGGTTGGTAAACAGATAGATGGTATGCAGCATGTAAGCTGCAGAGCCAGGTTTCAATTCCTGGTCTGTTTTATTCAAAAGCCTTGATCTTGTGTAAATTAGTTCAACCATTGTGGAAGACAGTGTGGCGATTCCTTAAGGACCTAGAAATAGAAATTCCATTTGACCCAGCAATCCCATTACTGGGTATATATCCAAAGGATTATAAATTGTTCTACTATAAGGACACAAGCACACGAATGTTCATTGCAGCACTGTTTACAATAGCGAAGACCTGGAACCAACCCAAATGCCCATCCATGATAGAATGGACAGGGAAAATGTGGTACATATACACCATGGAATATTATGCAGCCATCAAAAAAGATGAGTTCGTGTCTTTGTAGAGACATGGATGAACCTGGAAACCATCATTCTCAGCAAACTGACGGAAGAGCAGAAGATCAAACACCGCATGTTCTCACTCATAGGCGGGTGTTGAACAATAAGAACACATGGACACAGGGAGGGGAGCACTACACACTGGGGTCTGTTGGGGGGAAATGGGGGAGGATGGGGGGTGGGGGGGGGAGAGATAGCATGGGGAGAAATGCCAGATATAGGTGAAGGGGAGGAAGGCAGCAAATCACACTGCCATGTGTGTACCTATGCAACAATCTTGCATGTTCTTCACATATACCCCAAAATCTAAAATGTAATAATAAAAAAAAAGAACAACAACAACAACAAAAAAATGTCTTGATCTTAACCACCATGTAGAACTGCCTCCCAGTAGCTGGGATTGGGGAGGTGGAGGGGTCTAGGATCGCTTTCTGGTTTCCTGCATAGATAACCGGGAAAACTGAGACACACAACACAGGAAGAGAAATAAGTTGTGGGGAGCATGGATTCCATTTTGGACTGTAGTTTGTGCTGTCAGAAAGTGCCAGTTTAGGGGGCTGTGCATGAGGAACATTAATCTGTCTCTGCAGCCTTCCTCCCTCCTCCTGAGCTATACTGGGGGTCTTGGAGCACTCAGCTTTCTGTGTTCTGATTCCCCTCTTCTGCTATCCAGCAAGAGTGAAAAGGCTCTTCTAAGAGGAAGCCCCAAATCTGGAAGACATCCTACAGACAGACAAGGCAGAGTGACTTGTGGAAGTCAAGGGTGAGGGCTAGCAGGCTCCAGAGAGCTAGCTCTTTGATTCTGATGAAAGGCAAGATGTTGATGAAAAAGAGAGGAGTGCGGCCCTTACCCCAGCATGGCAAACCACTCAGAGACAACCCAACAGCAAGAAATGGATCACCCCAGGCTCTGGCATTCACAGCCCCTCAGGTTCAGGTTATACTTTTAAATCCAACCTGCCAAGTTTGAGGCTTCAGAGTCAGCATGCAGAGATATCCAGCAGTGCTCAGACTCTGACAGGGCCTGAGGTCACAGGTGAGGGCTGTGGGTGTGACAGGAATAAGGCTGATGGGAGCTGTGGGGAGTCCACATGGAGGTCTTTGATTCTCAGCCCAGCGCTTTGGTGGGAGGCCCCTGAGTACATGCCCTCCTGGACTCCCATGAGTGGGATGACAAAGTGATGAACCTCTGTTCTCTGAGGGTCAGGAATAAGAAGCACTTTGTTCCTCAGAAACATAACAGTGCTTTCCTACTCACCTTACCATGAGAGCAGAGCCTACGGAACAGAGAAAACATCAAAGGAAGCCCAGGCACTTAGGAACTTTTGGCAAGGAGGTTGGAACTAAGTGTTCTAATGATACCGTAGAGGAGGAGACCAGATAGCAATGCCTCTTTCCTCCCACCCATCCAACCCCCTCAGCACAGGGGCCCATCAAACTCAGGGGACACTCCCTCCTCCCAGACTGATCTTTATCCAGAAACCTTTCTAGCCTCTCCTCATCTCTTGGCTGTCTTGGCCTCAGGCAAAAAGAATACCTGTCCCCAACCAGCTGTCTTCAGCTCCTGTCCTTCCTCCCAGCTGCCAGAGAATTATCAGGTCAGCCTGCTCCTTCTTTCCTCTCTTCATCTTTTACTAGCAGGGATGCCAGGGGCCCAGGGATAACTGGGAAGAGTCTCTTACCCAAGGACCAGTTAGAGCTCTTAGTCTGCAAATGTTGCAGCTCACAGATTCTGCAGAGGCTGAGATTCTGTGGTGGACCAAGGGAGCAGGAAAGGCTAAAGGTGGCTGGTTGGCTGGGTGGCCTTGGGCAAACATCTTCTCTTTCTGGGTCATGAGGACTGGGTTATGGGTGAGTCAATCTCTGAAGTACCATTGGGTTGGGAACGCTGGAGGCTCTGGGATGGGGCAGACAGCCACTCTAGGCCCACTGCTGCCTCCAACCACCTTAACTCTACCAGCAGGAGGAATGGCACCAGCTGTGACCCAGCTCCTTTTCCTCCAGCTTGTTCTAGGGCCAACTCTGGCCACGGACATCAAGATGCAGTTTGGCACCAGGAACTTCCGTATCCTAAACGTCGACTATCCCAAGGTTATCTACCCAAGTGGTTTCCAGGGCTATTGTAATGGTCTGATGGCCTATGTGCGGGGAAAGATAAAAACTTCACATTGCTCAAAGATCCATTATGTGATGCATGCCCCTTGGAAAGCCATCCAGAAGGTCTGCAAGGAAAGTGAGAGCTTCTGTGAAAACTACAATGAATACTGCACACTCACTGAGGATGCATTCCCCATCACAGTCTGCTCCCTGAGCCACCAACAGCCAACCATCAGCTGCTACTACAATAGCACTGAAACCAACCAAAGGGCCCACCTACTCTGCTCTCGCAAGTATGAGGCTCAGCCAATAGGTATCATTGGTCTCCATTAGGGCATTTAATTCCTGAGCCACTCCACAACCTTTACCACCACAGGCCAGCCTGTCTCCATTTCCAACATTCTGATCCCTGTAACAAGACTTCCTTCCTGAATTCCAAGACAGGCAGGGTCCCCTCCCAAGAGACCAGGTGGGTAGGAAAATGTCCAGGGCTTTGATCACCATGCAAAGTGGTGCTGTTTTCTAGGTTCTTTCCAGCTTGTTTACCCCCTTTTCACTCGCATCTCCTTATCATCCTCCCTCTCCCAGAGACAGTAAAACCCACCCAAGAAGCTGACTTTGTCCAGTTGGCAGTGACTGTCCACCCACTGAGCCAGATCCTAAGTCCTGGATGGAGGCCCAGGGCCTCAGCTCACACCATGGCAACAGGCACCAGCTCTGAGTCTCACCTCCCCATCCCCAACACCCTTCTCATCTAAGGCTCCCCGAGTTCCCTTACAATCACCTCCACTCACGCACCTACACAGGGGGTATGGCTAGCTAAAGGAACCTCCCTGAGGCCCTTAGAGTCATATTAGCCACATTTCCCCACAACCCCCAGTTTCCAGCCTGCTTCTCTCTGTGAATTCATTGCTTCTCCCTTCATACAACTGTCCTCTCCTCCTTCCTCTTACCACGGAGCCTAGGGCTGTCTCTCCCCCACACTCTCAACCACCTTAGTTACCCTGCCTTCCTTTTTCCAACTTACTTTTCTTCCAGTGTTCTTACGTTGGCTACTGGCATTTCAAGGTATTGTCTCTCACCCATCCCCCAGAGGTTCCTGTTTCCCTTCTCTTCTAGCAGCTCCTCCCAAATCCCCCAGACTCAAGAGTCTGCCCCTGACCAGGCAGGGAAATGAGGCAGGCCCAGCTCTAATCAAATATAAATTTCTAAAACCACATCTGAGTATGTAAGATGTAACCATGGAGGGAAACTCGGTGAAGGGCACACGAGACCCCTCTGTACTATTTCTTTGTAACTTCCTGTGAATCCATAATCATTTCAAAATAAAAAGTTAAGAACGCACATCTGACTCTGTTGTGATTTTAATTCCTTTTTCTTCAGTGCACCGGAACTCCTACTCTTGGAATCTTGGCAGCCTCCCCCGCCTGGTCATCTTCCTGGGCTACCCTTAGCAGTCACTAAGATCTTCTGTCCCATGTACACCATGATGGAGGTGATGTGGGGCAAAGCTCAGTGCTGGGCTGGGTGTTGAAAATAGACTCTCCCCTTGCCCCAGCTCTGGAACAAATTTGTAACAGAAGTCAGGCTTAGCTGGCTTCTACTTCTCCCCCAGCAAAACCTGAATTGCAACAGATGAGGAAGGTGGAGGGACAGGGAAAGGTCTAATAGGTGGTATCTTGTTCATAGTCCATCACATCAGGAATTGCTACACCCTATTGGGGGGTGGGGTGGAGAGGTGAATACCAGTCATGTGTGAACACAAGTAGCAAATACTTTTACCTCCACAACTGGTTCATCTCTTAACTCCAAATATATTCTTCCACCCTGTTCTTGGAAGCAGCTGTTGAGGGGGAATGCTAACTGATGGCTGGTAGGCATAAGGCTAAGCAGAGTGAAGGGTGTGTGGTTGAGAACCCACACTCCTGCGGCTATTTCTTCTCCCTCTCTCTACACCAGCAGACCCATTTGTCCCTCATAGACAGAGTTTTTAGCAGCTGCACACACACAGATGTTTATTGTTTTCCAAGCTCCCTGGTGTTAAACATGCAGGGTCAGGGGACTAGCAGGCTAAGATGAAGCTCCTCTCTACTTGGTCTTCTTATCATAGGTGCCAGCACCCTTGTAGCCACTCACGTAGCCTGTGTTGTCAGTCATCTCTTCCCGTCCCGCGATGCCCTTGCCCTTGCCGCTCTCATCAAAGCGCTCCTTGTGGGTGCCGGTGTACTTGCTGGTGTCCGTCAAACGGTCCACTGCACCCACTGTTGTTGCTTTCTGCAAGCCAGAGGACGGATTTGAGCCCTTTTCCTTCCCTTACACTGTCACATCCCTTCCCCAAAGATGGCCAGAGACACTTAGAACAAGTGCTAGGAGCTCTTGCTCTGCTGCTGGCATGGGTGCTGCTTTCTTAGGGCCCAGATGCAGCTGTGGGCAGGAACTCTGACAAGAGCCATCCACTCATCGGGGAGAGGAGTGTGGTGTGGGAATGGGTGTGGTGTGTGCAGAGGGAGGGTGGGTTTTTTTGTTTCCAGAGGACTTATTTTGACTAGGTTGCTGCCAGAGGACTTTACCTCCAACCCCCTACCCAATATCCATTGTAGGAAGAGCTTTTAGTTCAGAGCGGACAATTGAAAAAGGGAGTAGGTGAGAGGCAGGAGGCCTGAGATTAAATCCTAAATAAAAACTGGAAGAGGAGTGGGCATCAGGTACCAAATCCTCTACGCTAATGTCGTCCAAAAGCCACCAAGCCTTAATTGCCTGGCTCAGCTACTGGAGACTTGGGAGTTAGTCTATTATTAAAATAGCCATGGACCTTGGGCAAATCACTTCCCTTCTCTGAGCCGCATTTTCTTCACTTCTGGGATATCTAGACAATCTCTAAAGTCTGTTTCTGCCCTGTCTGTACAGTCACATGTTGGCAGGGTTAGCAAGGCCAGACTGGAACAACAGGGATTTAGGGAAGTGGGTCAAGGGGTAGGGATGAAGACTGTTACTCACAGTAGCGCCAGTGGTGGCCGGGTCCTTGCCCCCCATGAGTCCATAAATGTTCTCCAGGACTTCATCTGGGCTCTTCCCCTTGAAGCGCTTCTGGCCCAGTTCCTTCATTGCCTCTTTGAACTGTTGAAATGTGATGGTCCGGGCATTCTTGGCCCTGGTCAGTTAGACAGAAATCAGAAACTTTAGAGCATGAACACATTACCTTCCAAGGTCCAACTCTTTCCTCACTCAGATTTGGCCCTTCTGTCCTATCAGTGAGTGTCTCAAAGACTAAGAGTAGCTCAGTGCCGGATACCCCGCGGTGCTCGGTAGGCCCACTGCAAATGTTCCGCCACATGAACCCTTCCATGGCCAACTACCTTGCACGTTCTATCACCCCCACCCCCATATCTTTGGCTCCTCACTTGACTTTGCTGAACACAATATCCACATCCGTGGAGGTGACCGCCTTGCCATCCATGATGCCACAGTCTTTGCACAGCTTGGAGAAGTTCTTGTTGTTCATTTCAGTGCCACTGCTTGATGATTCTCCGAAGGCAGCGAACCGATGGAATGTTTTCTCTGCCTCTGATTCCATGGTCAGCTAGAGGTGGAGGAGGAAGGTCGTGGGAGAGACTTGGGGGTGAAGGAGGAGGGGGAGGGAGGACTGTGGAGTAATGAGGACGAGTGTTAAGGTAAAGTCAGTCAGCAACAGGAACAGCTCCCCTCTTCCCTGTTGCTCTCTCCTCTCTCCCTCCCCGCTCCCATTGCACCTACACAGCTACAGCATGAGTCTCCCCTTCTCAGCACTGGAGATAACAGTGTGAATCCTACATACTGAATGGTCCTCTCTTTCCCCCCTCTTTTGTGTACCTAAGAGTACCTGGATGGTGGTCTGACCTTTCCGGCCTTTGTATTTAAGTGCGTGCAGATATGTGGGAGCCCCTTGGCTGTGGCAATCGGAGACAGAGGGAGGAGAGGGAAGCTTCTATGACCTCAGCAGTTGTTTATGTGACATCACTTCTGGCTCCAGCTACAGTCCTTGCCTTCAAAGGAGGGGGCTTTTAGTCTCCCTACCTTGCATGCTGAATTGGGCAAACTGCCAACTTTCTGACCTTTTCATATGAACACATTTCCATCATTTCAGCGCTGCTTACCCATCCTCAGGGTCCTAGTCAAATTGCTTATGCTCCGCCCCACAACAGAAGTTGAGGTGAGCCCAGGGAAGGTGTTTTAGTCTGTTTGGGCTGTTATAACAAAGTATCTTAAACTAGGTGGCTTATAAACAATAGATATTTATTTTTCACAGTTTGGAAGGCTGAGACGTCTAAGATCAAGGTGCTGGCAGATTCAGTGTTTGGTGAGGGCTGCTTTCTGGTCTACAGATGGCACCTTCTTGCTGTGTCCTTGCATGGTGGAAGGGGTGAATGGGTTCCCTTGGGCCTATTTATAAGGAATTCCATTCAGGAACGCTCTTGATCACCCCCCAAAGTGCCCCATCTCCTAATACCATGACTTTGAGAGTTAGGATTTTATTTTATTTATTTATTTATTCTGAGACAAAGTCTTGTGGTCTGTCACTGAGGCTGGAGTGCAGTGGCATGGTCTTGGGTCCCTGCAACCTCTACTCCCAGGGTTCAGGCGACTCATACCTCAGCCTCCTTAATAGCTGGGATTATAGGCACTCGCCACTATGCCTGGCCAATTTTTGTATTTTTAATAGAGACGGGGTTTTGCCATGTTGTCCAGGCTGGTTTCAAACTCCTGACCTCAAGTGATCCACCTGCCTCAGCCTCCCAAAGTGCTGGGATTACAGGTCACCTGTGAGTGAGTCACCGAGTGAGTCACCACGCCTGGGTGGGAGTCAAGATTTTACTACATGAGTTTTGGGAAGACATAAACATTCAGACCATAGCAGTTAATGAAAACAGGGGTTAATGAAAACAGGTTGGTATTTTTTTCCCAGTCTCAAGGCCCATGGATAGTGACCAGCATGGAGAATCCCACTGGCTTTAAAGGGCCAGACTCAATGGAAACTTTAAATGGCTTCCAACGTTGGGCCCAGTAGGCCTTGGAGTGTAACAGATGTGGACAGATCAGGATAAAACTGGGTCAGACTGAGGGTGAGGCTCAGATTCTGAAAATCTTCAGATAAGTTTCTATGCAGGTCAGAGATGTTCCTCAGGGTTTTCTCTCTTTGGCCTTTTCTCTGGCCAGAAGCCCTACAGATAGATGAACCTCAGAGATCCTAAAACAGAACGAGACTGGTGACTCTCTTCCTTTTCCCATCTAATAATGCCACCAATTTCTATTTTTTTCTTTGTCTTACAAATCTAGTCCTTTCTTTCTATTCCTGTTACTTCCACCCTTATTCCGGTTCTTATCATCTCATATCTGGATGACTACTCTGGCTTCTAAATAATCTCTTTCCTAAATCTAATTCTTCACTCTCACCCACCCATAATCCATCTCTATTACCTCTTCCTCAACAGATTAATTTTTCACGACAGTGTTTTTATTACTCCTGCTCAAGAATATTCTATGGCTCAAGATATACTACAGCTTCTCATTGCCAAATCTTTTTGCTTAGCATTCAAGGACCTGTACAACTAACTTAGGCCCCAATCTACCTTACCAAACCTCACCCACCTCTCATCAACATTATTCTTGGATGGGGCATGGTGGCTCATGCCTGTAATTCCAGCACTTTGGGAGGCCAAAGTGAGAGAATCACTTGAGCCCAGGAATTTGAGACCAGCCCGGGCAACAAAGTGAGACCCTGTCTCTAAATAAATAAATAATAAAAATTAGTTGGTAGTGGTGGCATGCACCTGTAGTCCCAGCTACTCAGGAGGCTGAAGTGGGAGGATTGCTTAAGCCTAGGAGTTTGAGGCTGCAGTGAACTAGGATTGTGTCAGTGCACTTCCACCTGGCTGACAGAGTGAGACCCCATCACATAAATAAATAAATAACAAAAAATCTAAGAACCAGATTATTCTTCAGCTGGGGTCATATGGCCTAACTGCTATACACTTGACAGGCTACCTGGTAGTGGAAGGAGCATAGTCCCTGGAGTGGAATGGATCTGGGTGGGGAAATGAATCCCAGATATGTCATTTGCTAGCACAGTGGACTTGGGCAAGTCCCTAAGCATTCCTGAGTTTCCATTTTCCCATCTGTACAGTGAGGACAATAACACTAACCTTATGGTTTTAGGGAATAACACATAGGAAGCTACTATGCAGTTCTCCAGAGTCATCTGGTGTTTCTGCCTCCACACTGTCCTTCATGCTCTCTCTCTGCCTGGATAGAATGCCTCTCACTCCCAACTCAAATATTCCATGGTTGCACTTCTCATCTGGGTG